ACATAATCAGTCCATTATAAATGAAGTGAAATGGGAGAACGCAGTGTATTCTTACTGTGAGGTACAAACAATGGGATTTTAGAAGTTTATTTTGGGATAACACAGATGGGCCATGGCGTTTGCATGAACACACTCTCCCCAAGGGTCATTTCCATCTCACATAAGTTGTACCCACCGTCCCTGGTGGATCAGGTGGCATATTGAGTCAATGCCCTTGTCAAAGTTAAAATTGCACCCAACGCAGTTAATCAGGCAAGGAAGACTTTACTCGAGACTATTGCAATAGGGGAGAGAGCAGAACCAAAGGGTTGGAGAGGCTTACTTGGCAGCTGGCCAGTACAGGGATCTGAAACCCTGACCTTGGTGCTATTACACCACACTCTAACCAACTGAGCTAACCAGTCAGCCTGGAGAAATTTTAAAAGCTGGGGTGGGGGACTCATAGGCCACCTGTGCTTGCTAATTGGCCTTCACAACTCGGAGCAAGGTGTCACCAAAAGTAGGCGCCTACCCTTCAACAGACACCTTCAACAGATAGGGGTGCTATCTCCTTCCAAGTTTATGTTTCAGAAAGATAGTTCCCAGATGCCTGAGAAAGACCATTCGCTGGGTTGTAAAACTAGGAGAAGTTGCATATATTTCAAAAGGGCAGAGAAAGAATTTACAATTGCAAGTTTTCTAAAGTGAATGCTCTAAGAAAAGGGAGGTCAGGGACCTAGAGTCAGGAAGAAACCTGTCTAAAGTTTAGCCAAGCTGGAGGAATGTTAAGGTCATCTTTGTCATACTGTAAGGCAGTTTTTCATGAATGTACCCCAAAATTTGCACCCCTGCTGCTTATGAAGAACCTTAAACCCAGTGATACATAAATTTAGAAATTTCAGGTCCCTGAAGAGTATCTTCATATGAAAAACCCATTGAAATGAACTCATAAACATTTCCTTTTAATGTTCTCATGCAAGAGTATCTTCACTGAATAATTCAACGAACATTTCTGGAGCATCTAGTCTGTGCTGGGCACCACATGAAGTATGAAAAAGGTGGGAACGTCTCAGAGAGACCTCACGGAACAGAAGGAGAGAGGTGAATAAACAAACACTTTAAGTATCAACATGAGAGTTCCCCCAAATATTAAACACAGAGTTGCCATATGACTCAGGAGTTCCACTTCTGGGTATCTTCCCAACAGAAATGAAGACATGTGTCCACACAAAGACTTGTACACAAATGCACATGGCAGCACTATTGCACCAAAGATGCAAACAACCCGATGTCCATCAACTGATGAATGGATAAACGAAATGTGGCATATCGTTCAACAAAGTATTACTCAGCAATAATAAGGAATGAATCACTGACCCATGCAGCAGCATGGATGAACCTTGAAACCATTACGCTGAGCAAAAGCAGCCAGTCACACAAGGCTCCATATTGCATGATTCTGTTTCACAAAATGTGTAGAATAGACAAATCTGCAGAGACAGGCCACAGGTGAGTGCTGCCTGAGGCTTTGGGGTTGGGAGAGTTGGGGAGCGACTGCTAATGGTTTTGGGGTCTCTACAGGGAACAATGAAAGTGTTCTAAAATTGCTTGTGGTGCTGGTGGCACAATTTTGTGGATATGCTAAAAACCATTAAGTTGTATACTTTTAATGGGTGAATTATGTGGTATGTAAATTATACCTTTAAAAAACTGTTACAAAAAATACATATGTGTATATATACATACTGTATATGTATGAGGGATCTTCAAGAAGTTCAGGAAAGATTTGTATTACCTCCTAAATCTATTTTTCCATGAACCTTCTGAAATAGCCTCAGACATTATATAATGTGAAAACAGCTTCAGGACATTTATCTGTTAGGGGAAAAGGGTGAGGGGTGGGGTGGTATCGGGAAGACATCAAAGGAGAGGTGATGGCTAAGACAGAACTTGAAGAACAAAGGTTTCCAAAGCCCCCTCCGAATGGGAGCCATTGTCGAAAGGCCCAGAGGACTAAGTCCCTTTCAGGGGCTGCAGGCAGCTCGGTAATTCCAGAGCCCAGGCAGGTGCAGCAAGGCCGGAGACAGGAGGCCTCGGCTACAGTCAGGAGCTGGGCCCTCACCTCTGTGAGGCAGTACATGATGGCAATTGTGAGCTCACACCACGGGGCCAGGTGACCCGGGTTCAATCCCAGTACTGGGCTGCACCAGCTACATGGACTTGGGCAAGTCATTTTACCTCTCTGGGCCTTAATCCCTCCTCTGTCACACCGATTGACACAAAGATTAGAGTTGATGTGTCCAAAGTCCTTGGGATGGTGCCTGGCATGCCCTGAGCCCTGTATATGTGTTTGCTAACATGGCACATTAATGAGCCACAGAATGATGTTAAGCAGGGAAGTGACGTGAGGTTTTTTCCGGAAGACCATCCTCCAGGAGACATGGAGGGTGAGAGGGATCAGACAAAAGCAGAGACTTTGAGGAGGCTGTTGTGATCACCCAGGAGAGAGATAATGTCTGGAAAAGGCAGGCACGATGGCAATGGGGAGGACAGAGAGAATTTACAGAGACTTGAGAAACAGAATCAAGAGGACCTGATGACTGACGAGCCGGGGCCGCGAGGAGGGGTGGGAGGTGTGCATTTGGATGGCTCCTGAGTTTCTAGTTGGGTAACTGCTGGATGGATGGTGAGAGATTCATTCACTGAGATGGAGAAAAGAGGAAGTTCAAGGACACGTCATTGGACAAATCCAGTGTACAGTACTTGTGACGTCCAAACCAGGTCTTCTGACACCAAATCCAGTACTTCTCTTCCCATGGCTCTTAGAATCCTGCCTCTGCCTTGAGGCAGTGTGGCTTATAATGGGGTATAATGTCACAAGTTGGCCACTGCTGCAGCACACTGGCATGGTGGCAGCCCTTGGGAGGACAGCTGAAGGAGAGAAAGTTCTGGAGGAACTGAGAGATGATGGAAACCAGCTGGGGTCAGACCATTCTTTGGAGCAGATCAGTGTAGCCAGGAGAAATTTCAAGCTATCAGCTTAGGTATGGCAGCTGAAGGAGAGAAAGTTCTGGAGGAACTGAGAGATGATGGAAACCAGCTGGGGTCGGACCATTCTTTGGAGCAGATCAGTGTAGCCAGGAGAAATTTCAAGCTATCAGCTTAGGTATGTAAGAAATGCAAACATGTTTTACAGAACCAAGCTTAATTCCCACTCAAGCCTCCATTCCTCCACTCAGGGAATGCTGGATCTCCTGCCCTGTTCTCCCGGTCTGGGCCTGAGAGAATGGCATGGGGTTTGAAATTCTTCTTTAAAGGCTTTTGCATGGACAGTGGATGGACAGAATCCAAAAGGGGTGGAGGGTGCTTTGGGGAAGAGGGACAGGTTTACCCAAAGCTGACTGGCCAGTGACTAGCACACAGACATGGGGTAAAGTAGATGTTCAATAAATGTTTGTGGCCAAAATGAGTGGAACTAAAAAAAGCAGAGGTGGACTGAGGGTGTCAAGCACGTCATGGTGTTTTGCACTCCCACTTTCTCACCCAGGAGTCCCACCAAATCGCCCAATGGCCCTGCTCTGTCCTAGTGACATCTAGTTAATCTGATGGATGGATCCTTGCTGATGTGTCCTCGTGTGTGTTGCTCCTCCTGGGTCAGCCATGCAGAGCCCCCACCCCCATTAAGTGCAGGCCAGCGAGTGTCCACGGGGAGCCCACAGAGAGTCAGCACAGCCATGGCCATGTTGTCCTCCACTGGACACCACCCCGTTTACTCTGCCACAGTTATTTTTCTGCCACTCACATGCTTTCCCTGCCCAATGGCCAAGTCTGTGCAGGATGTTAGTGAGCAGGTCTCATGGGAGGGAGCCAGGTGGGGGTGTGCAATGTAGGGTATCACATGATGAGAATCACAAGAGCAATCGAGCCGACCTGCTCACAAGCTCTCCTTATAAAGCCATCAGAACCATGCCTGTGACCATGCATTAAACCATCAACCCCTTACTCCATGAATGGATCAGTCCATTTGTGAGGGCACAGTCCTCAAGATCCAATCACCCCTTAAAGGCCCCATTTTCCATCACCATATTGCGAGTTAAGTTCCAGCATAAACCTGGGGGGACATTGAAGCCATAGAAGTCACCAATAGAAAAATTTTAAACAATGCCCAGAGGGCAGCTCTTCAGCTGGTAACAAAGTGCTGATGATGGTTTCTAATAAAGGACAACGTCAGGAGCATGTTGCCAACGGGACTGTGCTCTGCTGGCCCCATAGAGCTGATGTTATTAGCATTCCCATTTCTAGGAACCCATCTCCTCCCCTGCATGGGGTATTATGTGTCTCCTAGAGAAGCAGGATTAGCTGTGGTGCTGTTCAGATACTTGGCTCTTCTCTCTCTGGCAGTGGAAGGTTGATGGACCGTCCTCCTCGGGGTCCACAGGCTCTGGGTTCCGTGTCTTTCTTAGCAGTGAGCATTGGGTGGGGACAATGTGCTAAGGTAGGAGGTGCTCTGGTTGCTGTCAGAAGGGCCCACCTGTCCTTGTGAGCATCACCAGGATGGATATTCCAGTCATTGTGGTCCCTTCCTTCCCAAGAATTGAATCCAATATCACTTGCTGATCCCCCTTTCCCAACCCCCCACCCCCCATGCTTCAGCCTTGGGCACTAACATGCTGACCTCTCGGGAGCAGGTGCAAGGAGCTCTTTGAAACATACCCTTGGTCTCTGGAATCCCAACTCTTAGGCAAAGGATTCTCAACAGATACTCCTTGGGTGCAGATGTCGGAAAGGCTGCTTCAAAACTGTCCTGGCCGAGGCCGACTACAAGCTCTGCTTCTGTAGACGTTTGCCAAGTGCCAAAAACATCTCCGGTGCTCAGACCAGGGGCAGCCAATGGAAGCTGCAGCCAGGACCCCGCCCCCTGCCCCCTCCCACAGTGGCGTCCTGGCCTCCTGCCTCTCCTTTCCCTCCCTGTCCCCTCCTGCCTGGCCTGCCTGACTCAGGAGTGAGGACCCTGGTGGGCAGCAGCACCGGGGGCCACAGAACGCCTCTTCTGCCCTGTGGTTCCTGGAGGGAGCCTCAGCCTCTACGAAGATGACTTGGAGACAGGTCCTCCTCTTGTCCTGCCTCTCAGCCGTGGTGCTCCTGTCCTGTGAGTATGAGAGGGTCAAGGGGAGACCATGTCAGTTAAGGCTCACTCTACACACGTAAGTCTGCTCAGGTGGCACAGGTAGAAAGGGGTGTGCTTATTATTAAGATGGCCATGCTAGGGATTTGTGTGTGTGTGTGTGTGTGTGTGTGCAAGACACAATGTAACACAGAAAAAAAAAGAAAGAAAAATATAGAAAAAAACCCAGCTTAGTGGGTTCCTGGAGAGATGGGTTCCATGACTGGTATGTGAGGGACTGAGGGCCCCCCACCAGGGACTGGCAGGCCACTAAGCCTAGAAAGGACTGTCAAGGCCCAGATTGGGGTCTGGGCTCCCCCCGAGGCTGCAGCCTTCACTTTGTGCCTTGTCCCACAGTGCTGCGGGAGGGGACCGGTGCATCGGTGGGCACCAGACAGACAGCAGGAGCAGAGGACCAGGAAGGTGAGTGCAAGGGCCACCCCCTGGTGCAGAGCAGGTGCTGCCCACTCCCGAGGCAAGTGGAGCCCACTCCTGAGGCAGCCCTGGCATCCCCATGCCAGCTGTGACGGTCCTCTCTCACCTCTCTCGGGTTTCAGGTGTGAAACAGGAGATTTTCATGCAAGAATCAGATGCCTCAAATTTCCTCAAGAAGCGCAGCCAGCGGTCCCCCAAATCCCGAGATGAGGTCAACGGTAAGGATGCTGGGCAGCCCACCTCCTGCTCACACTCCAGTTCCTTGTGAGCAGGTGTGGCAGGATGCCGCGGGGACCCAGGGTTCAACTTAAAAGCTCTTGGCGATCAAAGTGACCTCAGCTGTGAAGTAGAAATTATGCCATACTTCCTTGATCGTAGGTCACATGTTGGGTTGAATACGTCGTTAGGGTAAGGGACAGAAGGAACGTGCCACATGAGGAGCACCTGAGAGTTATGACACATCCCAATTTCGGAAAGTGAAAAATGTAAAGGGGGCGTCTGTGTTCTGATCTAGAGGGAACACAGCACGGCAGAGCATGTTTTTCGGGGTACTGGCACAGCCTACTGTTTATGCAAGAGCAACAGCACTGTGCCCAGGGCATGAGCACGGGGGACTGGGCACTGAAAAGCGTGGGTTTGGTGACAGCTCTGCTGCTAAGTGGCCTCAGCAGCTTCCTCTCCCTGTTACTAATTTCCTTATTTATAAGCCCCTGAAAGCTGCATTCAGCCAGCAGAGTTCTTCAGTTTTAATTTCCTGTGCATGTGGGCAAGCGTGTCTCCTGCATGGTTTCTGTAGGCCCGGTGGTTCTCGGTGGGGGCCCTCACGTCCTTGACCTGCAGACCCTGGAAGGCAACTGAATTTTCTCCCCCAGAACTCAATTTTCCAAGACTCTGTCCTGACCAACTGTAAGGCTTGATTCTTTCCTTGTGTGTTTGTATGAATAAAGTCTTTGTGCTGCTCGGCACACTCAGCAAGGCGACCTGGTCAGTGAAAATAACAGACTATTTTCAGACGATGGGAAAGAACAGAGATGGGAATGCTTGGAGAGAAAATTCCTTTTTAAAAAACAATTGGATTACTATAACCATACTAGGGAAATCTCCAGGCCTCATGCAACTTGGGATTTAAAAGTTGGCCAATATCAAGCAACACTAAACAGCTGTGATGGAGGGTGTTTTGATTGAAATCAGAAAAGCAACCTTCTGGCAGACTTCCACAGGGAAACAGGCATGGTTCTAGGACGGGCAAATATCTTCCATCCCCTTAAGCTGACTCAGGACAATAAGCTGCAGGATGAAGTCTGAGGCCCCTCACCTGTNTGCTGGGCAGCCCACCTCCTGCTCACACTCCAGTTCCTTGTGAGCAGGTGTGGCAGGATGCAGCGGGGACCCAGTGTTCAACTTAAGCTCTTGGCGATCAAAGTGACCTCAGCTGTGAAGTAGAAATTATGCCATACTTCCTTGATCGTAGGTCACATGTTGGGTTGAATACGTTATTAGGGTAAGGGACAGAAGGAATGTGCCACATCAGGAGCACCTGAGAGTTATGACACATCCCAATTTCGGAAAGTGAAAAATGTAAAGGGGGCGTCTATGTTCTGGTCTAGAGGGAACACAGCACGGCAGAGCATGTTTTTCGGGGTACTGGCACAGCCTACTGTTTATGCAAGAGCAACAGCACTGCGCCCAGGGCATGAGCACGGGGGACTGGGCACTGAAAAGTGTGGGTTTGGTGACAGCTCTGCTGCTAAGTGGCCTCAGCAGCTTCCTCTCCCTGCTACTAATTTCCTTATTTATAAGCCCCTAAAAGAGCTGCGTTCAGCCAGCAGAGTTCTTCAGTTTTAATTTCCAGTGCATGTGGGCAAGCGTGTCTCCTGCATGGTTTCTGTAGGCCCGGTGGTCCTCGGTGGGGGACCCTCACGTCCTTGACCTGCAGACCCTGGAAGGCAACTGAATTTTCTCCCCCAGAACTCGATTTTCCAAGACTCTGTCCTGACCAACTGTAAGGCTTGATTCTTTCCTTGTGTGTTTGTATGAATAAAGTCTTTGTGCTGCTCGGCACACTCAGCAAGGTGACCTGGTCAGTGAAAATAACAGACTATTTTCAAACGATGGGAAAGAACAGAGATGGGAATGCTTGGAGAGAAAATTTCTTTTTAAAAAACAATTGGATTACTATAACCATACTAGGGAAATCTCCAGGCCTCACGCAACTTGGGATTTAAAAGTTGGCCAATATCAAGCAACACTAAACAGCTGTGATGGAGGGTGTTTTGATTGAAATCAGAATAGCAACCTTCTGGCAGACTTCCAGAGGGAAACAGGCATGGTTCTAGGACGGGCAAATATCTTCTATCCCCTTAAGCTGACTCAGGACAATAAGCTGCAGGATGAAGTCTGAGGCCCCTCACCTGTNTGCTGGGCAGCCCACCTCCTGCTCACACTCCAGTTCCTTGTGAGCAGGTGTGGCAGGATGCCGCGGGGACCCAGGGTTCAACTTAAAAGCTCTTGGCGATCAAAGTGACCTCAGCTGTGAAGTAGAAATTATGCCATACTTCCTTGATCGTAGGTCACATGTTGGGTTGAATACGTCGTTAGGGTAAGGGACAGAAGGAACGTGCCACATGAGGAGCACCTGAGAGTTATGACACATCCCAATTTCGGAAAGTGAAAAATGTAAAGGGGGCGTCTGTGTTCTGATCTAGAGGGAACACAGCACGGCAGAGCATGTTTTTCGGGGTACTGGCACAGCCTACTGTTTATGCAAGAGCAACAGCACTGTGCCCAGGGCATGAGCACGGGGGACTGGGCACTGAAAAGCGTGGGTTTGGTGACAGCTCTGCTGCTAAGTGGCCTCAGCAGCTTCCTCTCCCTGTTACTAATTTCCTTATTTATAAGCCCCTGAAAGCTGCATTCAGCCAGCAGAGTTCTTCAGTTTTAATTTCCTGTGCATGTGGGCAAGCGTGTCTCCTGCATGGTTTCTGTAGGCCCGGTGGTTCTCGGTGGGGGCCCTCACGTCCTTGACCTGCAGACCCTGGAAGGCAACTGAATTTTCTCCCCCAGAACTCAATTTTCCAAGACTCTGTCCTGACCAACTGTAAGGCTTGATTCTTTCCTTGTGTGTTTGTATGAATAAAGTCTTTGTGCTGCTCGGCACACTCAGCAAGGCGACCTGGTCAGTGAAAATAACAGACTATTTTCAGACGATGGGAAAGAACAGAGATGGGAATGCTTGGAGAGAAAATTCCTTTTTAAAAAACAATTGGATTACTATAACCATACTAGGGAAATCTCCAGGCCTCATGCAACTTGGGATTTAAAAGTTGGCCAATATCAAGCAACACTAAACAGCTGTGATGGAGGGTGTTTTGATTGAAATCAGAAAAGCAACCTTCTGGCAGACTTCCACAGGGAAACAGGCATGGTTCTAGGACGGGCAAATATCTTCCATCCCCTTAAGCTGACTCAGGACAATAAGCTGCAGGATGAAGTCTGAGGCCCCTCACCTGTCTGCAGTTCTGGGGGGGAGGGGTGGCCAGGACAGCCTGGTGGGTACCCAGGAGTGCATGTGAATGCAACTGCTGTCACAGTGCCCAGAGAGCCTTCAGTGGCGTAAAGAGCAGGCGACCCTTCTGTAAACTTGAATTTGGAACCAGGAGACAGACATCTGACATCTCTAAGCTTCTGGGATAAAAGCACAGGTCACTTTAGTATACAAAGAAAACCTATGAATGCATGTTCCTGAGAAGGGGCGTATGCAAGCAGAGGATAATGCTCAGTACAAAAATACCATCTTAGGGCTGGTGGGTTAGCTTGGTTAGAGCGTGATGCTATAACACCAAGGTCACGGGTTTGGATCTCTACACTGGCCAGCTGCCAAAAAAACAAACAAACAAACAAACAAACAAAAAAACCATCTTGTCTTGAAAGTTAATTGCTTTTATTCATTGCTACATCAAAAGCCCAATTTGTGGCAACTCGAAAAGATTGTTTCTTTTCCTGAGTCCATAGGAGAGCTCATTAAGGACCTGCTTCCTGAAGCCTAAGCTCCCCTCCCTCCACAGCAGCTTTCTGGTATCTGGAGCAACACCAGGGCTTCTGGTGGGTGGGAAGGGCGTGCTGCCATGTGTGTGTGCTCTGGCCAGTAGTGAAGTATGGGAGCCTGGTGCTCCGAACTCCAGCCCCAGCTCTGCCCCAGCCAGCTGTGTGACCTCCACTAGGTTGCTGCACCTCTCTGAGCCTGAATCCTTCCTGAGAAATGTGTGGCTGTGGGGCGAGGGGTGGGCGTGGGGACGGATTGGACTCCCAGCTCCTTCCACCAGCCTAAAGTTTCCTGCAACTAAACAGGTAAGGGCAGACGTATGGAAGGAACATGGGACCTACCTAAGGAATCCTCACTAAGATCAACTCACAGATCACTTGATTTTTAACCTGAGTTCAATTAAATAATACAAATATAATAGAAATAACTAGTATTTATATAACTTACTTCTTAATGTAGGCTCCTTACTTCTAAGAAGGGTTTGAGATGGTTTCCAATATCACCATTTTGCAAAGAAATTCTTTTTGTTGTTTCTCCCCACACCCCTGTAATGTGGGGTGGGGGCGGGGACCACGGCTTTCCTCAGTTTCTCGGCCTCCCTCATCACCCCCACTTCCTCTTGCACATCAGAGCTGGCAGGGACAACAGCACACCTCAGTATTCCCCTCTGATGTAAGTCTCACCATAGGAGCAGGAGGCTTTCTGAGGGACCAGTTCTTCCCGCACCAGGTGAGACCTACCCACCCTTATGGAATTTTCTAGTTAAAGCCCATGTTAGAAGAAATACCTTGAAAGTAGAGAGCTTTGAATAATTGCCTCCAAACAACCACAGGTCTCACAGACTTTTATTCCAGCAGTGAGGATAAAACCTTTTCTTTAGCAGCTGGCCGGTATGGGGACCCGAACCCCTGACCTTGGTGTTACAAGGCTGTGCTCTAACCAATTGAGCTAACCAGCCAGCTTGAAGCTTGTTTTTATATTTTCATCCTTATCTGGACAATAGACCTCTTCAGTGGAGGGATTTAGCCCACATGCTGGCCTTGACAGGTATCCAAAAATGTTGAATGGACTTGAAGGTATTAATTAATGTGAGATTCACTTTACATTGGATTTTTCCTTTATGGAATTCATTTCCAATCATGAGATTCCTAGTTTCTAAGTGGCCTGGTATACTGT